GGCGGACACAACATCTTTGTTGGTATGTGGTGCTGAGGATCGAACCCGGGCCGCACGCATGCCAGGCGAGCGCGCTACCGCTTGAGCCACATCCCCAGCCCCAAGAGAGAGAGTATTTTTAAGTAAGAGGAATATCTAATGAAGCCCATTGATACTAAGGTCTTAAAGAATTTGATGACCACTCTCCTAGCACCAAGAGTAGAAAATATAAATGAGAGCATTATCCAAGAGAAAAAGTGTTTGGCAGATCCCAGGGAATTCTGGTTGGCCATTAATTCAATTCTCTTCTTATCAAGTGTCCAAAAAAGCCAGCTAAGCAACATTTGAGAAGATTAAGACAATAGAATGTGCTAAAGTTGTCACTGCCCCACTCACCAAATGGCAGTGAGGCTGTTCTGTAGATGGGAGCTATTCATCAAAGGTCAGATTGTCACCACACAGGAAAGCCCACTTCTGTCCCCTACACAATAGTCTAATAAACATGGAATGTTTTGCTGGTAGGAAAAACTGAAAGTTTGAATCTGAAGGAAAATTTGACAGGGGAAATAAATGGAATGGAAGAGACCAGAGAAAATTTAGTGTCAGATTTGAAAGTGATTCTTACAAAACTTGCTTTCAAAGCTGTATATTTTATGCATCCTACTGCAATTGCTCTTAACATGTCTGTTAGAAGACATAGTGATTCTAGAATTCTTTTAATGGGGGGTGAGGGGCAGAGTGAGTAGGCTTAATAAAGAGTGGAGAGCAGTTGTCTGTCCCTCCCCGAGAGAGGAACTGAAGTGTATGTAGTAATTCCTTTTAGTGCTCTTCAAAGATCCAAAATAATCTTGGTTTAGGAAAATTAAAATTTTATGTTAAATTTGTTTTTTTTAAATTATATTATATTTGATAAAGTGGACTTTTAAAGGTTTATTCATTTTATCAAATTTAATGTTTTTGCTGATTTACCAAATTTGCTAAATGTTTAGATTTAGAAATAAATGTAGCTGTAAGTGTTCTGATGGTTGATTGAAAATTGGCCAAAATCTGCAGACATCACTGACATTTTAGTAAGACAGATTAAATGGTATGAGAAGGGACATGAAGAATAGAATCCAGAGAGGGCAATTTCTGGGTTTTTGAGGACTAATAGCTAAGTTTTGCCTAAAGTGTCCTTGACTAATCAAAACGCCTGTTTCTTTCTCTTCCCTAAGCTTTGTGGGAGTCTCACTTATGTATCTTAGATGTTCATAGATGAGCTTATTGATATGAGCCCACTTTAGGTTTTTATGGACACATAACATTTTTCTCTCATTTCTGACATCACTATTTAAGAGTGGGAATATAGCTGGGTGCAGTAGCGCACACCTGCAATCCCAGCAGCTGGGGAGGCTACAGCAGGAAGATCATGAGTTCTAAGCTAGCCTCAGCAAATGCAAGGTGCTAAGCAACTCAGTGAGATCCTGTTTCTAAATAAAAATACAAAATAGGGCTGGAGATGTGGCTCAGTGGTCGAGTGTCTCTTAGTTCAATCCCCAGCACACCCTCCCWTCCCTACCAAAAATAAGAAAAGTAGTGAGGAATATGAAAAAGTCTTGGAAGGGCAAGATAATGACAAGACAAATCATGAGTTTCTAGATGTGCTCTATTGACTCCTGTGGCCTTGAGTTTCTGTTCTGATGGGAGTGTAGAACCTAATACTGACACCTAATAAATTTCACTTTGAAAATCAGGGCAGCTGGTTTTGAACTGTTTTATTGAATTCAAGTTAGCTCTCATACGTCTGATCTGCAGAAGGTCTTTGTAATTGTCCCATCTTGGCTACCCATTATTATCACACTTGAACTTTATCACTGTTATAGACTGAACTACTTCAGAAATGTCAAATTCTAATCATTCTACTCTTTGAGCACAATCTCTGTCCCTTGTAGATTATTTGCTCAAGACCTTCCAGTGAATCCACATTGAAATCCCTCAGATCATCTCACTGTTTTCTCACTGCCTTTTTCTGTCTTCTCCCTTTTAGTCCACCTTAAATTCCATGTGTTGTCATTGTTTTAACTCCTTGTGTAAATGCCCTCAACTCCCTTTCTGGTCTTCCCCTATGAAAACCCTAATTCTGCGGTGGACCTAACTTCCCACTCCGAACTGAACATTGTTTAAAAAAAAAAATCACAAAACTTTGCAGAAATGGTTTGTAATTCATTATCATAAACCTCAGTGGACTCTCAACAATGCTAGCAATGTTGTTACTACCATTTTTGGTCTTTCATTTTTCACATCAACCATTTTATACTTTCTTTCCTCACTCCTGCTTCTTTCCATACTCAACTGATTATTTCACACCAACTAAGCTGAGAAAACACAAGTCTTCAGACTGTAGTATGAAGTCCAATTTCTCTATTTTTTCTTTTGTCTCTTGTGCTTTTGGTGTCTGATCTAAGAAACCATATCCTGATTCAAGGCCATGACAATTGGCTCCTGTATTTTATTTGAGGAATTGTATAGTTTTAGCATATGACCCATTTGAGCTAATTTTTATATATATATATATGTATAAACACACATATGTATATAAATTAAGTTTATTATATTGGACTGGAAGTTTGTAGTCTTTCAGTTTAAAAAAATAACTTTAGGGCCAAGTGTGGTGRCACATGCCTGCAATCCTAGCGGCTCAGGGTGCTGAGGATTGCAAGTTCAAAGTGAGGCCCTAAGCAACTTAGTGAGTTCCTTTCTCAAAATAAAAATTTTTTTAAAAGGACTGTGGATGTGGCTCAGTGGCTAAGTTGCCCTTGGTTCAAAACCTGGTACAAAACCAAAAACATTTTAGGGGCTAGGGATGTATAGCTCCTTGTAGAGCCTTGCATAGCTTGCCTAGGCCCTTGGTTCAGTATTGGCATCAGAAGAAAACAAGTTACCACCCACCAAACAATTGGCATATTCTCCCCCCCCCCTTTGTGAAGAAGAAATGAAGTAAATCCAAATTGGAAAAATGAAGTAAATGCCAGCTTTATACAAAGGTAAAATTGTCATTGCCCAATTCAGTTAGATGCATTCTTGTTAAGGATCAAGCCCATGGCTTCACACATGCTGGGCCAGCACTGTGTCACTGAACTACTACACCCCCAGCCCTTGTTTGTTTATTTGATACCTATTTGGTTTTGACTTTATGGATTTTATTGCAGCATATTATACTCAAGATTCTCAAAGACCTCATGGTAGCAAAGGTAATGGGTTTCTCAGGTAAATGTAGGCTTGTTTTGGGGTACCCAGTGATTGCTTCTGTTCATTGGTTTTGATATATTGTGTAGTTATTGGATTAATATATTTCAAATTTTTAGTTAGCTTAATAAAATTTTACCCTTAAATATTTTGATTATGAAATAAGGGTAACATGCAGACATTTTAATGAAGAATATAAAATAACAGACCCAGGACCACAATATCCTCTCACCCATTCTTTCCAGATTCAAACTCTGTAGAGGAGCTCACTGTCCTAGTGTTACAATCCATCTCTTCCTTCTCTGTGTAGTTTCATCATCCTTAAACAGCATACTCCAGCTTTCCCTTCTCTTGAACTTCATGTATAAGAAGAATATATACAATATGTATTCTTTTAAGTCTTTTGTAACTGAGCATATTGTAGAATTTATCCATTTATAGCATGGTATTTCTTTCATTGCTGTGTAGACTTCCATTATGAGATATACTGTGAATTATTGATTTTTGTTAATAGACTATTACAAAGATTCTATAACCATTCCTGTATAAGTGCATATGTACATGAGTTTCTTTAAGATATATTTACCTAAAAGAAGAATTGTGTGGTTGTAGAGTACAGAGCTCTTCAGTTTTGATGCAGTCAGTTGTATATTAAGGTTCTCATTGCTTCACATCATCTTCAACGTTTGGTATCATCAGACTTTTTAGTTTTAGTTAGTCTAGTGGATACCATGTAGTGTTTTAATTTATGT